ATCACCAGGAGTCTTCAGGCCATCTACGAGCTACACATACTGTTTCTCAGTTTGGAATGTCTTTTCTGATGATGGTTCTATCATAGCTCAATACCAAAATTAATTTTATAAATCTAAGATCTGCTTCTTAAAGTCTAAGTTCTTTTAGTTTTCTCCAATCATTACCAAAGTATTAATTCCTAGCCTTTATAAAAAGTAATGCTTCTCAAATTCCAAGCGGATTCAATTTAAAATCATTTCACATAATTTCTTTACTTTGATGGGAAATTCTTTTGATAGTTTCTGGTTTTGGCAAGTCTCAATTCCAGAACAAATCTAAACTCAAGTCCTTGAGTTTCTATAGTGTGTTTTATGTCTGTTACATGAGCTAGCTTTATACATATTTCTTTCATGTAAGTTTAATTATTGGATCATCGTGTCCTTCATCTGCTATCAAATGAAACCCTCTGCTTTTGTGAACAAATGCATATAAATATATACATACATATAATTAGCAAGTCAGAGGAAATTCTCTGCTACTTCCATCAGTGTCTTATAAAAATAATATACACTCTTAGACAACCGCGAGTCTAGCTTAAGTTCAGTTAGAGATAAGAATACATATACTGTCTTTGGGAGGGTCCTAACATTATATAAACCCCACTGTGTGTGAGTTTAGTTTGAACGGAGTGTTCCAGAGCTGAAACAACAGTACGGTGAATTAGCAGGACAAAAATCTCTTAGCAAATACCTTGTTACGTTTTTTGACCTCAAATTGTATGGGCCCTTGTAATAATTAATAGCTAGTGTCGCTTTTATATTCTGGGTCTCTATCATTGCCTCTCTGACAAAGAGTTTATAGTCTGCAATCTTTCCAGTTGTCTTCTCTGATGTTTTACACCTCAGTAGCTTTGTCTTAGAAGTGTATTTTGCATTTGCTTGCTCATCCATAGTGACCTCGCTTGGGCTTTGTTTAGTTTATTTGTTGCCTGATGATACATACCAAGCCTTACAGGGACCATTTGACTTTATATACATTCAATTTATTGACTTTAGTTGTCACTGCTTCTGTACAGACCCATTCAAAAATGCCCCCAAAGTGCTATGCCACTAAAAGATCAATGTCCTCATTTTCCTTTTTTGGAGCTTTTGATGTGCAAACCTCCCCCTGGCCCCCACCATCCACCTCAATATTGATGACATTATACATCAATTTCAAGATGTCCTTTACATTACTATACTTTTAAGCTTATTTACTTTATGCTTTTCTTCATAGTTATTTTGCAAATGTTTTGCTTTTATGATGTATGTGAGCTTAAGCCTAAGACTTCTCTCTCCAGTTTTATGTTTAAAACATTGTAACTTTTTAAGGTTTAAGTTATATTATGATCAAAATAATTTAAGTCAGTATGAGGGGTACATAAAAATTATTTGTGTGAAAATGCTGTTCTAGGATATTCCTATTACATTTCTGAATGCATCGTATAGAATTCTTCTTAAATATTTACCCAGTGTTTAAAATTGGTTTGCATTCCCTGGCTATGTCTCATCTATTACATTTGCTATGTGGCCAAGGAAAGCCTGGAAAGTATTAACAACTCATCATGGATAATCATGAATTGATTGTATTTAATATCACTGTAGATTAAAAAAATAGCTTTATTGACATATTCAAGTATGGCAATGTCAGGGTTTTTCTTTTCTTTCTCCTATCTCTGTTGTCTTTTTAAAAATCCCACACACAGCATACACGTTATGCAAGTCACGATTTCAACTACCTCCTATTAAGTCAATAATTCCAGATCTTCATTTCTAGACCAATTTGCTGATTCAAGTTCCAGATGCACATTTCCACTGCTCTACTAGACATTTTTACCTGAATGTTCAACAAGTATTTCAAACTTATTCAACCTGAAATTCAATTCTTGTACTCTTACTCTAGATCAGTGATGTTACTTTCACTCAGTCTCTCAAACTCAAAAATTTGAATTTTTTTGATTCAAAAATTTGAATCATCTTCCACCTTCTTTTCTTCACTCTCAACATTAGCAGTCAGCAAGTCCTGATGATTCTTTGTATCCTCTGCCATAGACTTTGTTCAGTTTGCACCATCTCTCAGCAGACAATCGCACTAGCTGCCTACGTAGATTCCCTGTCATCAGTTACCTACATCAATCTAGCTTAAAATAGGAAAAATATATCTGATCTCATTGAGAGTTCTCAGTTGACTTGCTTCTGTACATGTGGGCTGACCTAACTTCTGCATTACCAGCCTGTGAATTTATTGATGCCAAGAGCTCTGTCTTATTCATCGTTGTGTCTCAGGTTTAACAGAGTTCCCACATGTAACTGCTGCTTACTATGTGCTTTTGAATGTTGACAGGACACTAGTGAGTGGCTAAGAGCATAGGGTTTAGAATCCAATAGATCTAGGTTCAATTTCTGCCTTCTCTGCCACTTAGCTATGAAGTGACCTTGGACAGACTAACATTAAGTCAGTGATTCTCAACAATCAGGTGGGGCTCAGGCACTAGAACTTTTAATATATCTATGGGTGATCCTAACATGCAGCCAAGGAATCACTGCTTTTACCCTTAATTTTTCATTTGCTATTTGGTATCTATTTCAAATGGGTTTGAGCATGTGAAATGAGATTTAACTTAGCACAGTGCCTGGCACACAGAAAGTGATTAACATCAATCATGATGTTAAAATACAACTTCAATTTGTAATTTTCTTTTCATTTGCTACCCCCAGCTCTGCCTCTCTTTCAATTCCCAGAATGCACCAAGTTTTTCAGCTTTTGTGCTCTCACACCTGTTCTTCATCCTGCTCTTAGCAGATCCCTCTCAATCTTCAGCTCACGCATAGTCTCCAGGTATTCCCCTTTATTCTCCATCACAGCATAGAGATGTTACATCTTCATGGCACTTGTCTCAGTTTGTAATTACATATTAATTCCACCATTTACTGTGTTTCCCCAACAGGACTGTAGTTTCACAAATGAATGTGCCTTGTCTGTATTGATTTCCTCCCAAAGTCCAGTGCCAAGTGTCCGGTACCTGCCAGGTGCTCAGGTGATAGTTGGATTAATAAATAATCCATTCTGATTTCTCAAAAAAAAAGCAAAATTTCTTGACGCTCTATGTCCTTCAACCATATCTCACATCAAAACATCGTAACAAAAACCAAAACGAAAAAAGTAGAATGATCTCTAGTGTGTGGGGTTCTAGCTACTGACTAGGAAAATTGTAATATTAAAAAAATTATCTTGGATGTTTTTAATTTGGGTAATGTTTCCAAGTCCAAGGTTCTTCGAGGCTTACTGAATGGCTTAGTCATCAACCTGTAGGCAATAATTAATGTGACTCCCACAATATCTCACTCCAACAAAGTCAATAAACTTTTGTGGGTGTTTGTACTAGCTAAGTAAAGGGCTTTTTGTTTTCTAACTTATCTTTTGATCTGTTTGGTTGGGAGACCAAACAACATATAAAGCTAATGGAAAAAACCTTTCTTGAAGTCAATAATTATCACATTGTTGATACTTCTACCTATGAAAAAGACCTCAGAAATCATCTAGACCAATCTCTCATTTCACAGATGAAAAGAAGAAAGCCTAAAAAAAATGAATTTAGTGGAAGTGATTACACACATATTGTCTTAGTGCTGAAATACAATCCAGGTTTCAAGGATCATTCACCAGCGTTCCACTGACCACATTACACGAACTTCAAAACAACTCAGAGTTACTATGATTTCTTGATGTTCTTAACTAATTTATATTCTGGTATCAATTAATTTAGTATTTCAATGTTTCTATAACAAAAATTCAGTCCAAATTCATGAGCTTGATGTTTAGAACTCACATGTCTCACCATACCTCTTTCTACATGCCAGACTCTGCAATCTGTTTCATGTTTTTCCAACTCTGAGCTTCCACCAGAATGCACAGGCTTACCATATCTGCATATTTATCCTCAATGCCAACTGAAAGACCACATCTTCCATGAAAACTGCCCTCAAACCCAGTCAAAGAAGAGAATGGCCCTTTGTATTTCTCCTAGGGATTTTATATTCTGCCTTGTACTGCCGTAGGAATAACTGCATTAGATGCAGGAACCTTGGGAACTGGTGCTATATGGTTTTTGCTTTTAGGTTCTGTCACTATTTGCAACTAATACATATTTAAACTAAAATAAATGCCCCTCTAGGTTAAAATTTTCCATAAGGATTTTCTTGAACGCAATTTCTAAGTGTCCGAAAAAAGCTCGGTTGGAGTAGGCATGAACTGGACATACAGGACTTGTATTGCTTTAAGGAAATACATGATGTGAGAACATTTTCAAATTATTGTCTCTTTTCTGAGTGCTTTCTCTTTTCTTGTAAAAATCATCGTCCATTGTGCATAATTGGCCCAGATCTTTCTTACTGGTAGTGTGAAAACTTACAGGAGTGAAATTTGAGAGCTACAGAAAACATTAGAGAAAACACTAAGAGATATAGGAAATATTAGAGAAGCATCATGCAAATACTTGCCTAGAAACATTTTGTTGGAAATTCAGATTCTTTTTCAGTTTTCAGAAATAAATGTAGATAAAAAGGTCAGAAAAACGAAAATCTATCTTATCGTTTATCAGTTCAAAGTAAATAAAAGGAGTTTACCATCTGACAGTCCTTTGGAAAACTATTATGCAATTATTCTCCGCCCAGATTTCATCTAGAACATTCAAATCCATTGTAATCTTACCAAATCCATAACATGTTTTGGGTTAAGCCACCTCCAAATAGAATAGTTCAATAACTAATATACTCAAGAGAGATTTTTTTTCTCTCTCTCTTTTAAAAAAGAGTTGCTTAAAAAAACAAAATTGGGGGCAGCTCAAGCCTGTAATCCCAGCACTTTGGGAGAACGAGGTGGGCAAATCACGAGGTCAGGAGTTTGAGACCAGCGTGGCCAACATGGTGAAACCCCATCTCTACTAAAAATACAAAAAGTAGGCAGGCGTGGAGGCACGCACCTGTAGTCCCAGCTACTGGGGAGGCTAAGGCAGAAGAATCACTTGAACCCGGGAGGCAGAGGTTGCAGTGAGCCGAGATCATGCCAGGGCACTCCAGTCTGGGTGATGGGGCGAGACTCCGTCTTAAATAAATAAATAAATAAAAATTCAGAATAGGGAAGCAACTCCTCCTTATGACGAGTACCTTTCGGCACTTATATGGGCTTGCTTTTGCACTGACGGCACCACTTTCATTGAAAAAAAAGAAGTTCGCTTGCACAATCTCCAAAGACCCGTTTGGCTTGGTTTCATGTTCTAAAAGTAAGGTTTTAGATTAAGTGAAAAATAATACTTCTGACACATAATTATAAGGTTTTTAAATTTTCTCTATGTTGGTGTAAACTTATGAAGTCCTTCCTATGAAAACTGTCCCCCAAATCACGTTACTTGGTCGTCCTCGAGGAACGATTTTAAATGAAAAGCACATAAAGTGCTGTAGCATGGAGACGAGAGACAAATTACTATGCTCTTCTCCCAAATTAAGTTATGACTTACTAGGGGAGGAAAAGGAGCAGTATAAAGCCCGGTCCTCTGCGGGAAGTACTCGGAGGCCTGCCCCGGAGCGCGCTCCTCTCGGCTACGAGATGAGGGGCACGCAGACGACCGCGCCTCTCGGTGAGTGTGCGTGTATCAGTGCATGATTCCTTTACTCCGCCCACAGGGTCTGGGCATCCGTCATTACCCACGGCTGCCTGGTCAGCAAACAACAGCTGATCCGACAGCCGCCAGTCACCTCGACGGTCCACGCCCACCGCTAGCCTCCAGTCTCCCGCAGACCGGAAGCCCCTTTGCCCCGGCTCGCAGGTCCACCCTTTATTGACAGCAGGAACCGGAAGCTCTTTTGCCCCGATCGCCTGCGCGCGGCCTCGTTGGCCGCACAGGCGCAGTGGAGCTCGGGCGGAGTTGTGGGAGTGGAGGAGGAAGAGGCGGTGGGGAGTACGGGGGCTGGTCCCAGAAGATGGCGGAGGCGGGGGTGAGTAGGGGGTCTCCCGGCGAAGCGCGGGTGACGTGGTGCTGAGGAGAGCGGCCTGAGGAGGAGGGTGGCCCTCGGGAAGAAGAACTACTTGTGTTGTTGCAGCCTGGGAACCCTGGTGGCAGGTGCGGGGAGCCAGGACCACTGATGGGCCTGCAGGGCAAGAGGCTCCGCTTACCTGAGAGGGGTCCGCGAGGTCCAGAAGGGGACTGCGGGATCGGGGAGGGGTCATAGGAGGCGTCCAGGCTCCTCGGGCAGTGGATGAGTGTCTGAGCGGGAAGAAGTCTGGAGGACGGCGGGAAGGGCGAGCCAGAGGTCTGATGAGGTGGAGGTCAGCGAGCTGTCAAGCGTAGAGCTGCCAGGACTTGGGGGCTTGTAACCTGGGAGAGAAGACTCAGGTTTGGGCCGGGGTTGGATCCCAAGAAGACAGGTTATAATCCACTCAAAAGATAGGGCATTGGGTTGAGGAGTAGGACTCTGGCATTTTGGACTGGAATTGGTTACCTATGGAATAGGTGTTTCGGTAAAGCCAAAGAATTCTTGCCAGGGCCTGGAAGTGGATTTGATGATAGTTACTGGATTTTACGGTTGTTTAGTGGGGATTGGCAATATGGAGAAGGAAAGCAGTGTGGATTATGGGAGTGGGCGCGAGCAATGGTGCTAACACCGTGTCCAGTTAACGTTGGAAAAAGTTGTTAAAAGTATGATATTAGCTAGATACTCTAGGAAAATATACCATGAAGAACTTGCTGTTTTGTAGGATTGATGAAGAACTGCTTTAAAAACGAATGGTTAGGCTTGGCAGCTGGGCCGCTGAAACTGTTTGGTATCAGTATTGCGGTGAAGCTGAGGACTGCAGGGGAATGCGTGCTCCAGTCCTGGTGCAGAAAAAATAAAAGCAGCCAAACAGTAGCTAGATGGTGTTTTGTAACTTTTGGGTTTGGCCCTGATAGTGAACCACTGAATGAAGATAGATGAAGGGAATGCTACTAATGGGGACCCCAAAGAAAACGGAAATTAGACGTGTACCCTTCCTGTTTTCTCTTGCTCAGTACTGTGTTTTATCATTGTGTTATGTCACAGTTATCGGTTCATGTCTGCTATCCAGTGACCAGGCTGTGAATCATGTACCTTTGGGAAAGAGGTTGATTCTGTTTAACTGACAACTGTTGCTTTTGCAGATGGTCACAGGGAAAGGAAAGGATAAAATGCAGTTCAGTAGTTTAAAGACAGTTTTCTTAGTTCAGAAACTTAAAACGATGGAGTAACTTTTTTAGGCACTGAGATATGACATTTAAAAGCTGTAAGGGAATGTGAATGCAGCTAGCTTACTGGTTTCTGTGTTTGGGTTTTAATGTTGAGAGGAAAGAGTTGCAGTGTTTCTAAGGCAAATATTTCTTTTCTTCCTAGAAATTTTTAACGTCTCTAGCCCAGGATACATGTAGATATGTTTTTATTTAGGGAGAATTAAACTGTTTCATTGATTTAAGTATGTTTTTTTCTAATGTTAGTGCTTATCCTATTTCAAGAATGCTATTCTAATTAAGAGAGCATATGATGAAAAATATTTGAGGTAGTAATTCCACTTTATTGTTTAGTAGCTTATGTGACCTAAGCACCCGAAGAGACAGGGTTATCTGAGGGAGTAAAAATATTTCTTTTACTGCTAATCATTGGAAAAAGAATGGTCTTGTCATTTGGTTTTAGGGGGTGTTGCAGTTGTTGCAATGCAACAGGTTCTTAAGGTTACTGGAATATTTTGTATGTGTGTTTGTTTTCAAACGCTTGTTGCCTCTAAGTTGTTTCAGTGGCCAACATGAACTTTGATTTTTATTCACAAAGCTCATAATCACTTATAACTCTTTTTTTAACCTAAAAGTAATAATATCAATCCATTAGTAGGCAGCCATACACCTGGATTAATGTTTTTCCAGTATTGATGATTCATCACTGATCTATGCAAATTATTTGAACTATTTTTCTTTCTGTTTAGTATTGTACTTTCCAGAAATTTTAGGCCAGGGCTCAAAGTAGAATTTTTCAAGTTTAGTGGAAAGTTTTTCTTTGTGAATTGTTGAAAACATTATTTTGGTATTTGGTAGTTTACCAACATGATTTTAAAAACGGTTTCTTGTGTGGCACTTAAATTGTTTTGTACCATGTTTGTGAATGGAAGCAATGTGGTGAAGCAGAAAGAACTCTAGACATGGGGTCAGAGTGGGTGGGCCTAGTCCTGGTGCTACCTGGTAACAGTTCTGTGATCTTAGAAAGTTACTTAACCTATTTTATTTCGTAATATGGGAACTAACAGCACCTGCCCATTTACCAGGGTTGTTTTCGAGAATCTATGGAGATACTGTCCTTTAAACAGTACCTTTATACCAGAGACTTCTTCCCTGGTCAGCAAATTATTTGTCAAGTAATCTAAAGTTTTCAAATATAGATTTTTTAAAAAATTTTGGAACCTCAAGTTTATCATTAATGTAAGACTATTATTTAAAGATATAGAACCACTTTGTTTGAAGAAAATGGTATCAGTACATAATCAGAAAAACAAACTTCAAAATAAACGAAGGGAGCTTACTTTCCCTTGAAAATAACCCACTCCTCTAGTGTGCAACTGGTATCATAAACATCCTTTTAAAGGAATTTCATTGTTGCATGGTAGGGGGTGAAATGGTTTTGTGGAAGCCTCTATCCCTTTGATGAGTCTGGTCATTTTCGGGCATTCACTATGCATGTTTGTGGTAATAAGAACTGATGGTACTGTCTTAATCTTGTTACTCCAGTTGACCACTTTGCATGTCATTGGCCTTGCAAGTAGAGTGAGAGAACTGTTAGATTACTGATTCTTTACTTTGGATCATGGACTTTTTTGAGTACTTGATAATAATTATGGAACTTTCGTCCCAGAAAAAAATGCATATATACACAACTTTTTTGCTTTGTTTTGCATGGGGGTCTCATACCCATTGGAATAGATGATCTCCCAGTTCCCTGCTATTTCTTAAAGCTTTTACTTTTTGTCACCAGTAATTATATACTATTGTATTATGATGTAGTTACAAAATTAACTTTTTGAATCTCATTCAAATAAACATCAAACAAATGTGTTATTTTTAAGGAGAACTTTTGGGGCAAAGTAGGAAACTGAACAAGCACTGCCAGGAAAGGTTAAATAAACAGCTGTGGTAGAAAATGTAAATAAACAAAGTCTCCAGCTGTCTTGAAATAGAATGAAGTATCTAGCAATCAGTGGCTCTCATTGTGGTGACAATTTTGGTTATCACAAATCGGGGAGGGGGCATTTAGTGGGTGGGAGCCAGGGATGCTAAATGTTTTACAATGCTTAGAACAGTCTCATACAGCAAAGAATTGTCCTGCCTAAAATGCCAGTGCCCTTTGACAAATGCTGGTGAGTGTGAGATGGGGACTAGCATGAGTGAAATAGCTTTTTTAAACTGAAGTTGTTTTCCTTTTTAAAAATACTGTTACACATAAAATACCCCTTTCCATTAATTCCCTTTTGGAAAAATCACAAACAGAAACAAATGATATACTATCTCAATGTGGGTTACTCAGAAAGTATGCCCATCTTCTAGCTACTGTTAGCAGCACATGAGGGCAGTGTGCTGTGTCTACTGGGATTTGAGGAAGTAAAGAGTCAACTTGTTCTCATACAGAGTGTTTGCTATTTTTTCTTTTTACTTTAAAACATATTTTTACACCTTGATCTAGTACTTTTAAAGAAAATTTCAAGGCGATTGTGCATTTATTCGCATCGTCTTCGTGCAGTTGTATAGTCACTTACTTATTTTGGCTTACTACCTTAGAGTGTATTATAGTTGAGATGGTATTTCAACATCTAACCATCTTTTCAGTAACCAAACACCTTTATATAGAACCATGTGCCGAAAAAGAAGTCTGAGCAGTTGAGATGGAATGGAATTCAAGGTATAGAGGCAAGAGGATGAGCTTCGGAGTCAATTAGACCTGAAGTGAAATTTCAGTTTTGGTACTGCATGTCACATGACCATAAGCAAATTGCTGAATCTCTTTGACTTGGTAGCCTCATCTGTAAAATGAGGATGATAATTCCTACCTTTGTGATTGTTTTGAAGAGTAGAGTTACTATATGTCTGGCATGGACTAGGCCCTCCATAAATGGGTGCCCTATAAAGAATGATGATGATGATAATGAAGATGGAGAGTTCTGTAGCTACTGAACCTTGCCAGAAGCAACCAGATGATGATGATGATGATGAAGGAGAGTTCTGTGGCTACTGAACCTTGCCAAAAGCAACCGGATGATGATGATGATGATGATGAAGGAGAGTTCTGTAGCTACTGAACCTTGCCAAAAGCAACCAGGTGGTGGTGATGATGATGATGATGATGATGGATAGTTCTGTAGCTACTGAACCTTGCCAAAAGCAATCAGGTGGTGGTGGTGATGATGATGATGATGATGATGATGATGAAGGAGAGTTCTGTAGCTACTGAACCTTGCCAAAAGCAACCAGGTGATGATGATGATGATGATGATGATGATGATGATGGATAGTTCTGTAGCTACTGAACCTTGCCAAAAGCAACCAGGTGATGATGATGATGATGAAGGAGTTCTGTAGCTACTGAACCTTGACAAGAGCAACCAGGTGATGATGATGATGATGATGGATAGTTCTGTAGCTACTGAACCTTGCCAAAAGCAACCAGGTGATGATGATGATGGAGAGTTCTGTAGCTACTGAACCTTGCCAGAAGCAACCAGATGATGATGATGATGATGATGATGATGATGATGATGATGATGA